ATTCGTTAGAAAATTGTGCAATAACGATTTGCAACAACAACAACAATGATGACGACGAAAAAAACGGACATTTAAATGACCATTAATGGTCAAACAATTGCAATTGTGCAGTGTGCAGTGATGTGGCAATTTGGCTAAAACCTCTTACGAGAAACGAAAAAGCACAAAACTCTTTCTCGTTTTCTGTTACAATTGTAATGAAAATGGAAAACAAACTTCACGAGGTAGACAAACAGACGTATAGACGAATATGGAGAATAACATCTAAGACGACGCATAATGCAATGCAGAAAAAAGGTTTCAATTTTAGTTTTCGTTGCTTTTCTGTTTTTTTTGCATTTTTGCTCCAAGATCTTGGCTAAGCTATAAAACGCTATTTGGCAGTAGTACGGTTAGTACATAATTTCCTTTTCTATTGGAAATGTTTTCAATTTCGTTTCTGTAATCGATATGTAAATTGTAGCGTGTAGTGTAGCGTGTTTATTGTTATACGGTTGTCGATGGGTTGCGTGTGTATTATGGGGCATTTTCGAATGTTAGTGTTCGCCATAAGTGACATTTTAGAGGTTTCGATTTCAAATTGTTTTTCTTTTCTTTTCTGCTTTTCCCCGGCAGATAGGCTAAAATAAAAAAAACAAAGCTATAAATATGTGATAGGTTAACCAATACACAAAACATATATGAAAAGTGAGAGTTTTGTTTATGTTTATCGTTATGCATTAAAAAAGTAATCATTTGCATCTACGCCTCCTATATATACCAGGGCATATATTGCTCAGCAATTTATTCACATTGAAATGTTTGCCATATTTAGAAGCGATTGCACAACGCTTGAAATTAGTTTCTAAACAAATGCATAAGCATTCATAAATATTAATGTTTGATATTGAAATGAAAATTGAAGAAATACAATACGAGGAACTAAATGCGAGCTTAGCGAACGTTAGCAGGAACCAGAAAAATTAGACAAAGTAACGCTTTGTCCCCCAAAAAGCGCAAATCAGTTATGAAAGTCCTCCAATCACCCACGGGTGGATCTATAATTAATACTCCAACGTATCCTACAAATTTCGAATGCCACCTGTTTGTAGGAAACGTTTAATAAATGCCCGAGTACTACATTTTCAAGTATTTCTCTCGAATCTAACAAAAGTCTTCATGCGACGCTTTTCTTTATGTAATCCGTATCCCAGCTTGTTCCTACAGATCTATTTTAACTCAACTTGTAAGACGAGATAAGGTCACATGCTATATTTCTGATCAAACCCCATCGACTCCAAAGTCGGCTTTTGATTTCTTCTTTTACTGCAGTTGCAGGCGGGCACAGCACAACCAGAGTATCAAGAGGTGTTACTTTCTCCCGGCAAAAGTTACGTGTTCTGTTTCTACTTTTATTTATTTTATATATGTTAGCGATTCTCTTCATTTTAATTTCATCTTTCGAGACCTTTCCAATTTCAACGTCCGCTCTATTCAAAACTCCCAATCTGCGCGGCTTCCAATACAGAATGCATATTCTAATTGAAATTAGCCCACTGAAGCGATGTCTAATTGGGGGCTCGATTTCAATCGGAGCTCAGTAGCGCTCCCAATTGCAGGGCCTAGTTTATTTGCGATTGTCGATTCCGTTCCAAATCGGAACTGGGCTACGGGCATTACGCAAATTCAAGTTGGGCATCCAGTTCCAGCCGTCATTAGAATTATAAATCAAGTTGGAATGACTTTAGTTAGAATTTGTATAAGAATTGCATTTCGAATATCTGCCTAGGGTTAGTATGTCCAATTATTGTACTGCAGTCTGAATTTGTAAACCAGAGTCCACATATCGTTACGTATATCAAAGTGCGGTTCGATATACTATCCTATCCGAACTCTGGTTGCGATTATAATCTCCAATGTTTGAATTCGACAGTCACTCCTCCTCAAATTGAATTTTGATTGTCAGTTAAGTTCTTGTTCTTCTTCTTGTTTTGCTGTAATTCAGCAAATCAACAACATATGATACGGCACGTGAAAAATTTTCAATGTGAACACAAAGTTCTTTGTTTGAACCTTAATAAAGTCTAAACTTTAAGTTCTTGTTGTGGTACGAAAACCAATTGAGTTTGAAACTCTATTTTGAATTTCAATTTTATTTTCAACCACAGTTACAATTGTAGCACGAACTCAAATCAAAATTCCCCAACTAAACCTGACTTACCATTTGATGTGAGTTCGTATGATTGCTTTTAGCGAAATGGAATGCTTGCTAAGAAGAAAAAGTGGAATAAAATTCTTTTGTCCATCACCAGACACTACCTTAAACTTAACCTTAGGCAACGTAAAAATTTCATGTAGACAGGGTAACGGATGTTTCGAGATTATCCATTTTTAGAAGTGAATCGGATCCTTAGAAAAAAAAAGCCAGTTTGACATATCATTTCAGTCTTCCTGCATGTCTCCGTTTAGTCACAAGTAACATTGTAGCATGTCAAATACCATAAAACGTTCATCGCAAGAATTTCAAACGTTGCTTTTGTGTTTGTTTCACTCATAAGCATATTCAGAATTATGACTTTGACAACATGAGGCAATTGTTGCCTCATATTTTCTTTCTAATTTGGCTCGAATCGTTTCACGAATGTGTCAATTTCACGTAACATAGATATTTTCAAAAGAAGTTATCTAAAAAGCAATCAGCAAACAAAACAACTCCCAGTAATTGATCATTTGTAATGGAGCACAAGCGCCAAAAATGTTGCTCTACTTTTGTTTATGATTTAACTTTGTTTTGATTTTTTTTTTTTTTTTTTTTTTTTTTTTTTTTGTTGAATGGAATCGAAACGATTTCAGGTTTGTAAGCATAATTTTCATTTAACGATTATATGTCTGAAAGTCGTGCATTATTTATCTTATTGCATATATGTAGGTTACGTTTATAAATTGGATTTCATCTATTCGTGAGCTGATGTCATATATTTTTTAAATTAAAACAAAAAAGAAGACAACTTTCCGATAAATCATAAGGGAAGGAAATATTTGATTCTCAGATCTTTAAAGAAAGAACATTTGTATTGGTTTTCCAGTTAATAATCTCTTTAATTATATTTAATTGTTTGCTGTAGACACTTCCACAGGCACTTTACAGTAAAGTCCGTTTTAATCACTGAATCTAAGATGTTTAGCGATGTCTGTCATTCCGTGTCGTTTGTTAAAAAAGTAAATATACAAATTCTTTACCTGACTATTTTCTTCCTCTGCTCTATAATAAATGTAGTTTTAAATTAAGAATTTATTTACTTATAATCATTATTATTATTATTATTTATTTTCAGATTAGTGATAGCAAAGGCGGCCTTTATACGTTATGGTATGTAAATGCAAAGTCAAAATCAGTTTATCTCAGAAATTCCTTTACTATCCAAACCTATACGCTATACTTATACGCTGCGCTTGCATATTATGACTTATATTTGGTTGGCATCAAAGTATTTTCGATAGCCGCAAAGAGAGCTTCTGTTATTTTCAAGAACTTTCATCTATTGTTAGAATTATTCTTCTCCTTCTGATGCTATGCAGTCGCTATGCCATGATTTTAGGAGTAAGTTTGAAAGGCTTTATATTGCATTTGACGATGAATCCAAGAAGATACTTACTATTAGCAAATTGATGACGAAGTAGAAAATAGAAAATATTGCTTAAAATATAATTTTGTTTTCCCTTCTACGAAATTACTTTCTTGTCTGCCTGCTTCATGCATTCATTAATGTCCATATAATTTAGAAAAAAAAGACAACAAAAAAAATTGATAAAGAAAAAAACACTTTTCTGAAAGCCTATAATTGAAATGTGTGTAAAGGTATAAATTAAACACGCCTTAAAATACCGCAAATTTTCCTACAACGACACGAATGTCTATAATTTTCAAAATCAATACAATTAAAATAAATTTATGATTTGAAACCTGACAGCCGCTTTGACTTTTATTGATTTTTTATAGGCGTTAAATGAAGCAAAAGCAAAAACAAAAATTAGGTGTTTGTGGAGAATTTCCAATCATGGCAGGACTTGGAATAACAAAATAACACAATAAAGAGCAAAATTGCATTTAATTGATCAACCATTCAGACAAGCGCTCGAATAAGCTTTTCAATCATAATTCGAGAATTTAATAGCTCTTGTCTGAATGGATTATTTGCTGAGATTGCTTTGTCTAAAACATTTAAAGGATTCAGCTTTAATGCATTGGTTGGTGGGATTGGCAAAGGTTTGCACGAGCACAGGGAATTTTATATGGAATAAGGAGTTTATAAGCTCTCTAAAACTACAGGGTGCGTAAATTTGGGCCCTTTGACCTTATCTGTATGAAAAGATCTTTTTATGCCTGCAACCAATTTTTCTCTATATATTCCTCTTTTTTCGGATACCGGTTGCATACACTGTATTCCTTTTTCGATCGACTTGAGTCAACCTGACCCATAATCTTTGTCGAATTGTCACAGTAGCAAAGAGAGAGTTAGGAAGTTGAAAGATTCCGATGAAAAGAAATCATTTTAAAACCGAGCATGCAACCGGTTCTAACGAACATTTGCGTAGCAGCTTTTCAGAAATCGTTTCACGTAATAGAAAATTGTAAACGAAATGAAGGCAAAATTGCTGACCCTTTTTCCGAGATTGTTTGTTGTTTGTCCTTTACACTGTGGGCGTGTTTACTGGCAAATCAGGACTATTCCCTAGCCTAGGGCTCCTAATCGATCAGATAATGTTTGTGACAAATTCCTTCTTTTTTCCCAATTTTGTGAGATGGTAGCAGTTCAACAAAAATAATGGAAGCTAGGAAGAGTATACTGAAAGGAAGAATAATTTTATATTCATTTATGTAACGATACTTAGAAAAAGCATAAAGCAATAAAAGTGTGCAGGAAAGATCTGTTGCAGAAAAATCGTTCTCTATCATGATCTGTCTTTTAGAATAGTCGCTCTTAAATCAGGGCCTAGCAGAAGTCGCGTCAATTACCTTTTCGTTGCGTCAACGATTTGCTGAATAATTTATACACAAATTTTTAAAATTTGTAGGAATATCTGGCACATTAGGGTATAATTTCCACTTAGCTGTGGTTACGATAGTAAAAACCATAGAAAGATACGAAAGCATGGAAGAAAGTTTGTCAAAAGTTTATATACATTTTCTATATATGTTAGAGAAGCATGCATGAAGTATCAATCCTCGTCAACTATATCCATGAACAAGCACTAGGCGAGGCATTACATTACACACCAGGTACCCCAGGTAGCCACACGAGATGTGGCTTCGTGGGCTACGTACAATATATCCGATTTTCGATTTTTTCTTTTTTTTGTTTTGCCCAACATATGCTGATATTATCAGGCATTTTGGAATTTTAGTTCGTTTTTGACAGGTATAAAGGTTAGGCGCGTTCAATTGATCAAACAATTTGTATTAAAATCCTGACTGTGGCATTTGGCGAGTCAATTTCAAGTAAAAAAAAATGTTTATAAGTGACGCAAGCTCTTCACAGAAGCTCGCTCTAGACGCTCCAACGAATGATGAAAACGTTGAATCAGTGAAGAAAATTTTTGTGAAACATCGTCCCACCACTACAGAAGAGTTGTCAGTTGGCTCACGCAATGCAATTTATTTTGGATATTTTGGGCATGGGACGGTCAGAAGAGTTAAGGCTGAAAGAAGCATGCTAAGGTCGGAAGCGTGAGTTCTTGCCAGAAGGCCATACGATCAAGAAGAATTAAATATCTTGCAGTTATGTGCTGTTCGGGTGAAACAATGTGAAAAAAATGGCTGGAATTGTCAAACAACCAGTCATGGATATTGCGTGATCACGATAATGCGCCAACTCACACGTAATTATTTTTGAAAATATCATAATCACGCTTCAGCTACCGTATTCATCGCACGAGACGAGGAAGAGACCCATGAAAGGACGGCGTTTTGCTCAGATTAAGGAGATAAAGACCGCCTCGCTGGAAGAACTCAAGATGCGCATATCAAAAGTACTCCAAAGGTTGCAAAAAGCGTTGGCACCCGTGGATAGTACCTAAGTGGTATCACTTTGAAGGCAACAAAATAGATGTTGATGAATACGTAAATGTTTTTTGAGAAAAATATGGAGTCACCTTTGGCTTTGAACAGCCTTCGTATAAACCAGAATTATTATTGTTATTATTATTATTATAATTTTAGACTAATGAAATAAATTCTTAGACTAAAAAAAAGACATTGAGCACTAGAAACGCAGGCTATCAGCTCTAATTTAAATAAATGTACATTAGATAATGAGCTTAGTAGTATTAATAAAGTAATATATAGAATTGATATTCGATTCTGAAGCTGATTTTAGAATGTCCAAAGGGTTAATCGTTTCAAATGCAATACTCCTAACCAAGGAAAAGTTAAGGCAGTCGCAGAGAATGTATTTTATAGTGAGAGTTTGTCCACAACTACAGATCGGGGAGGAAGACTTCTTCAAGATCCATTGGTGAGTTGCAATTGTATGATCAAGGCGAATTCTCGGAAATGTTTGGGTCTTGGTTTTTTCAACATTTGTGGGATATAAAGGTGGAGTTAATTGAGGATAAACCAGAATTATTTCTCTTTTTTTCTTCAATTCTTTCATGTTTTCTCAGGGCATTGCTTACTCTAAACTTCATTTTTATCGATTAAAATAAGGAAAAAAGCAGTTTTTTGTGTTTTGCAGCACTTTCAACATAAATTTACATTATATCCAACGCTTGAAATAAATTTTATTAGTTTTTCCAAGAACTATCCATAGATATCAATGCCTTTTGCTATATATATATATATATATATATATATATACATATATGTAGATATATATTTTTGTAAAAATACATTATATTCAAAAAACGTATTTCCTAGTACTCTTTCCAGCTAATATCCATTGTCTCCTGAGGTACTTGTAGTTATGCTATACACCATATATCCAATTGACATGTGGCCACAAATTATTGATAGTTATCGAGAAAAATAAAAAAAAAAAATATTCATTACTTTAGAAAAGTATAAAAATCCTCGTAGCTACTTAGCTACACATCATCATAGTGAACACGACGGCATATATGTGTGTAGAGAGAAGGGCAGGGGAAACGTAGACAATAAAATTCTTTATAAATTGACGCCTTTCCTGAACATACGATGCGACAAGTGTGAATCCTAAGCCAGCGATATTTGTGCGTTCATCTATCTGCACGTACGTGATAATGCTGGTATGTATGTGATTTACTAAGGAATTCAATCCGCAGACTTACATAAAAAAACATAAACTTGCAAGATTTTATGAACATAAACTAAAGGCTATTAAATTTTTATGCTTATAAAACGCGTCGGACCGCTCCTCTCTTTTCTTTCTAATAATAATTACAGCATGTCGAGTCACACAGCAATCAAGGAGTTTTAAAACCACACGCAAATCCTAAGTGAGTCGATCTTCTTTCGCTTGCCTATCGTGTGCCGTCCTCCCTCCTCTTCTTTAGATTTAAAATTTAATTTATATAAATTGCTTCATTATATGATATTGACTTTTTTTTTTTTTCATTTTTAATTTATAATAAGAAGATTTTCAATCTTAAAATACGTGTGCTACTCTGTCCGTCTGTCCATTTGCTGGTCTTTCTGCTATTGCATTAGCTATGATAGGGTGTCATAAACATTAAGAAAAGCCCTGGCGTGTTGTCTAGTACGCCAGTAAGCGCTTATCTATACAAAACCACAAAAGGACTTTCGTGCATAGTTTACACGTTGCGGTCTATATCTCTAATGAAATCTACATGGTTTTGTGCTTTAACAAGCATTTACGTTGTCTACTTATGTCGCCTGGCGAATTAAATTTCATTTTATACGTATACATATATACGATAGCACGGTGTCGATGGTGTGGTGTTGGTGGTGACGATTACATGACCCTTTCGATGGCGAGTATGTTGACGACAATGATTTTATGGTTTTCGCCAGCTAGCATAGGCGATTTGATTTCTCACATGGCGTTGACTACTTAACCCATTGATAACGTTTCAAGTTGTTATTTTTGTTGTTGTTGTTGTTGTTGTCGTTGTTTCACATAAAACAATGTTTAGGATAATTTTATTTTATTATATTTTATATTTATATTCTTGTTTTGTTAGCGCTTTCCGTTTCAGTTCACTTTTAATTTCGTTTTCGTTTCGTTAGCCAAGGCTATTAATAGTTTAACCAGAATCTAGTTAACATAAATATTAACCTGTAAATGTATAAAACAATGTTATGTTGTTGTTGTTGTTATTATTATTATTATTATTATTATTATTATTATTACTATCGTTGTTGTAGCAATATAT